TACAGGAGAACGAAGCCGAGGCAGAGGCAGGACAGAACAGGGCGCCGTCACCCAGGGTACATACAGACATGTCATGCCCTACCAAGAACTGATAAGGCTGAAAACAATTTTCATGTAAGTAGCTCAATACTACAGATAAAAGTACACAAACGCATGTGTTGCATAAAACTTTTCAAAGACTGTGTGTAGTTAGATATGAAATCAAGTTAATGGCCAACATGATATTGTGTAAGCATAATTATCAAGATGATGGGATGTATTAAGATAATTTAAGGAACAGTAACATGTTCGTAAATCTTGCCAGATATATTTATCAGATTGGAATATTTTGAAAACCTCACCAAACAAGCTCTGACTTTAGAAAGAGGAAGATTAGACTCTGCTGGTGCACATCTCCTACAAAAACAAAACAGAAAGGTCAAAGCAGTGTGCCTGTCACAAATTGCACTTGGAAATTTCATTACAGATTGGCACGTACTCTATTCACAGCATCATCTAAGGTTACCTTCAGCCAGGAAACAAAAGATAAAAGCTTCCTCCATATTCAAGAAGTATAAAAAAAGGAAAACACTATCCCAAGTGTAAGGCTTTCCAAAATGCTCAGTAAAACATATTCCATCTATGAAAATTAGGCTCTAGTCAAAGGAATATTTAAGGACTATTCTGCTTCGCAGCCTTCCCACAGGCCCCAGCCATGCTTCCCAGGCACAGATCATGTCCTAACTCAGCACATAGCTTTAGCTCTAATAATACAACTGCAACTCCTTTTAGCTTAAGCTACACAGACGAAATTAAGCATGTCATAACTTAAGATCTAACAGTATCAAATTAATTCTTTAGCATAATTGTAACTGTAGCTGATATAAGATTCAATTTTGCCCTTAAAGTACCAAAGGAATTTTAGCATGTCTTGGGCAACGATTCAATCACCTAGTAAGAAGAGAGCTTATGTCATATATAGTTTAGGTTAACATCCACACATACCATACTAGGACCTCCCTGATGCAACAGATTTTATTTTATTCCATGCTATGCTGTCAACAAAAATGTTTCAAGGCTTATTGTTTTCAAGATTTTAAGCCAAAAATAACTAAGAGTGTCATAGTTGCTACAGAATCATGGAAGTTAGGAGGAGTATCTACATCAATGCTTTTCTCCTCTAAAAAAGCTGAACTATGTGCCTTCTTCTGTGCTGATTAATGTGAAGCAATACGATGTCCATAACATCTTAGGTGAAACTTCTGCAGTCAGGGTTAGGAACTTTCTCTTGAATCAATTCTTTGAATCAATTTTACTTCCAACCATGTACTTTTGTTCATATAAGATATTCAACACTTCAGGAATAATTTTAGAAACAATCCTCTGTGCAATAGCTTGAGTCAGGTGTTTCATGTGGTTGTAAAGAACTGTCTGATTTGAAATCTGGCCACACCATTTAACAGACCACCAACTCTAGCTGAAAGGTGGAAACTCTCTTCCAGGTTCTGCGAATTGCTCTCGCCCTTCCTCAGCTCCACAGATTCAAAACAGATGCCTTTCCATATGTTGTGCGGATTAGTATTTGTTTGCTATTCTGGGCATGAAAAATACCATCAAGCATGTGTCTTTATTCTAGGTGCACAGAGCCGTACCATTCTAGGAGTCTGCAGTCTCTGCAAAGCCTGACACTGGAAAATCTGCAACTTGATCAAATCTAAACTAAAACAAGGCTTACCACCAGGCCTTGAGAAACACTACTGACTACTTTCATGAAAGGAAACACTTTTCCTGCAATATGCAGATGACGGTAGAATTGGCTGCTGAAGGCTGCCGAGGGTAAGAATTTCACAAAGTGTATGATGACATCTGTACAGATCAAAAGGCTGTCCAGAGTTGCAACAGTTAAAAATTCAGCAAGAATATTAAGTGTCTGACTTCTGGGTTTAAGCCAATCATGATTAGAAATCAAGCTGAAGCTCAGTATGGTGCACTTTTTTCTGTTTTGGGTTGTTTTGTTTTTTTTTCCTTAAACATTCCTCTAAAACCGTAGTGATTCACTTATGCATAATTAAGGCAGATTTTCATTAGGGGGGATTTTCATTCCCATCCAGCTGTTTTATTGAGCCAAGGGTGTTCCAGAAAGAACATTCATCTCTGTAAGACCAATGGAGGACCAGTCCCAGCCATACTGAAGGAAAGTAGGACAAGTGCTCCATTACCTCTCCAGCAACAGGAAGAGCTCTCAGTGGGAGCACAACACCCTGTGGCTCTGGCACCCAAGAAGGAGGCTCCCACTAAACTCACATTGAGAAAAGGTGGAGCACACCGCATGGATCATGCTGGGCTGTCAGGATTTATCAGCTCCTGCTCAGCATAAGCCCTTTGGGACACTATGGTACAAGCTGAGGGAAAGGGCGGCCCAGTTCAGGCACAGAGGCAAGCCCTGAGCTGAGCTATCTGTGCCTTATGGTACCTAAGGCACCAGAGCTTGAGGAGGTCAGTGCACTAACACATCTTCTTCTGCAAGGGGTCAGCCCAATGGCCACCAGGCCATATATAGTTCAGTGCTGATGACAAATGATGGCATTGCTGAAATAATCTGGGAAAGATGTCAGCTAAAGGAATCCTTTCAAGCCAGAAGGGGCTCTACAGGGGGAAAAGGCTCTGTTAATTCCTGATTCCTCTTAATCTGCCACCCAGGTAGTTGAGGTTAGCTATCTGAGTGTGGGACTCCAGTGTTCCTTATCCATAACCTATTCACCCTGCCTCATTGCATAACATCTCCTCCTGCATCCTCTGACTCTACTATATGCTGAAATCTCCATCTTTTGTCTTTCTTTACATGCTTATGAAAGAGCCGTACACAAGCAGTGCGCTAAATGATTTACATGACTCACCAGGGATGAAGAGGGATTTGTAAGTAAAAAAGTATCATCAAGCTAGACAGATGGCTGTACTGCAGGGGTTATGGCTAAGGAAGAGGCAGCAGAGACTGATCAGAAAAGGGAGGCCCAGACCAACAAATTGCAAAGCACAGGTTTGGCAAGGACTGCTAGACTGGGGCAAGATTTATGTAGGAGGCCATCCAGGTAATTTTAAGGCTGGATCCCTAGGCAAACACAGAGGCAAAGGATTGGAGAGGCTGCTCGTTAGATAAGGGTTAAGTATGCCAGTTTTGCCAGTATGCAAAGCCTGATGAATAAGCCTTGTTGCAGAGAGGGCAGCTAGCAAAAACTCCTTTTTCCAGCTGTGTAAGCCCTGCAGTCTTTGAGAAGACATAAGACAAACATTAAAAGAGAGCAAGAGTGCAAGGAAACCATCCAGCAATGTAAGTCAGAACAATACCCTAACCTCATCACTGCCAAGTTTCTGAAAACACAACAGCATGGGAGACTTCTGAGAAGGATCCTGTAGTGCCCAGAGGATGTGCCCCCACAAAGGGGCTTCCAAAAAAGAGCATTGGTGCTGAAAGGACAAAGCTAGGGGAAGTTTGCTTGTGTCACTCTTCTTCTAATCCTTCCACCCATTCCTCTTCCTCCATAACAAAACTCTAACACATAAATTACTTGCTTTTGCTTTCAAGACCTATTCATTTCCTACCTATCACATCTCATTTCTCACTGAAATATCAGCTCCTGTCTCTGATCAACCAGTGATGCCAACATTCATCACCAACTTCAGTGACAAGCTGGGACAACAATCTTTGCAGGAGCATTTGCCATGGATATGAGCAAGACTGTGTTTGTCAGGGCAGGAGAAAAGTACACAGCAGTAGTTGAAACATGAAAGTGAATTTTAGTTAGATGAGAAGGTGGATAGAAACAGAAGATGTTTTGAGAAAATTCTAATTTGTCTGAGACTCTTCTCAGACTCTTCCTGCAGCTGTAATTCCACATACTCTCTTCCAAAATCAAAACAAGGTTGTATTCTGAGATTCTCATTACTTCTTCAACCTTTCCTTGCTTTTGCCTTAATGCAAAAAAAAAAAAAATCCATTGTTTTCTAAAGGAAGACTCAGCTACCTAAGTATAATGAAAGTATAATGAAGTATAATATACCAAGTATAATGAAAGGTAGTTAAACAATCATATAGAAAAAACAGAGAATCCAAAATCTAAATAGAGGCAGTAAAATTACTGCAGTAAATGTGGGACTGAATGAGCTATGGACACACTGCATGGAAACAAACACCAGAAGCCTTTTAACTTTGGACTGAATTTCAGGTTTAAGTCCCAGCTTGAGTTGGAACTTGACAAATACTTGAGATATCCAGATAGCATTTAATGTTAAAAAAGACAGATGTCAAGTACACTGCTGTAACACTCTGCAAGCACTAAGTATTAATCAATCCTTTTGCCAAAAAGTTCTAATTTACACTAAGAAGAGATAGTGTGAGGAGCAAGCAAGAAAATTATCATTGGCTCAGCACAAACCACAGTAGGCCAACAAAAGTATTTCACTTGAAGATGAGAAATTATTTGCTGAAATTCTTCATACAGTTAGCACTTGACAGGGTTTTTTTTTGCCCCCAAAATCATACACATCCAATGATAATTAATCTGCCAGCAAAACTGCCAGAATGGGCCTGACATAGCAGCTATTACCAATGAAGTGCAAAGCCTTTTACAAGATGAGAACCAGCAAAGCTATCACATCCTTCAGGACTGGCAAGGGGCCAGGTGATGATGGGTTGCCACCTAAGTACTGCACAGCCCACCAAGACCACATAGATCCAATCTAGCAGTCAGCATTTCAGCAAATAGAGCAAAATAAACTTTTCCAATTCATCTCATTAAAATATCAGTTCTTTGATGGGCAGAGACCCTCAGACAGGCAATGAGGTGGCAAGGATAATGGACACAATGCAAGAATTCAAGTAGACTAATCACTGCAAGAATGATCATCCAATTTTATAACCCAGTCTGTATTTGAGCACTGTGTTGAAGTACAAGAGAAGTCTTTAATACCACATTAACTGCAAGAAAGCAAATGCAAATGTAAAATAATGTCTTCTTTGGCAGAGGAAGTCGGGGATCTGTTCCACATCATGGAAGAGTTACTGGTTACCAAAAGGGCTTTTGACTGTGTGGAGTGAAAGAACTTTTCAAAACTCCTGAAGGATATACACTGCTATTTAACTGTGAGTATGCTTTTCTTCTGGATATACGAATTTAAAAAACAAACAAACAAACAAACTTTTTGTGGAATAGTTCTGTTTTTCTACCATTTGAAGTACTTGAAAGTATTGCTTACTCTACTATTTCAACTTGAAAATTTCTCCTGGGAGTAAATCAGAAGAACTATACCAAAAAAAAAACAAAAAAACAAAAAAACCCAATAACATGAGCAATCAAGTCTATAAAAATTATATGATGCCATAAGAATGCTGCAGCCACTCCAACATTCTGTTACTGATATTTAGAGGTTGGTTTGCTGAATCTTAAGATATTCAAATTAACCAAGTATTTGATGTCACTACTCTGCATTCCTGGGTTAACCAAATCTGAATGATAATTTAAAGTGAACAAAATAAAGCATGCCCTGATTAGGTAATGAGTGATGAGGTACAATTAACATCACTTTTCAAAAATAGTGGTTCAGGTTCTCTTTGCTATAGAATTTCTGCTTGGTTCAGCAGGAAAGAGGGTTAGAAAAACATTTACAGCTCCCTATTTATTTGTCCAGCCTTGAAACACAGACAAGTCTCAAATTTGCTTTAACATGCAGCAGAAAGAAAAACTCAAAACATCCTCTTTCAGCTAAAGAGAGATGAAGTACTTAAACCACGGCTTCTTCCTCTCTCCACCATGCTTCCTGAAAATATCCATGTCCAGGTGAGAATGGCAACAAGATAGGCATAACTGCCTTAGAACAAATCTCCAAGATATATCTGAATACAGGTAGCTGTGAGGACAGGAAAGATGAAGAAATAGAAACATTACATAGACAAAAATTATATTAACAGAAATAACTGGATTTTGTGGTACTGCAACTACATTGCAGTGCAACAGCAAAAATCCCTGAAAGAAATACAGAGAGATTAATAACAAAATAAAAATCCAAGTAGTTTAAATTCAATACAAAGCAAGTAGTTGCTTGAGAAAATATTAAAAGCTGGATTAAAAATATGAAACTGCAAGCTTTTATATCTTTTGTCCTTTTTCTAGTTCCAAAACCAGACAGCATTACCCTTAAAGAAAAGACAGACACATTAGGATATAAGCATGTATTGCACCAGACATAATTCAGCTGTGGCTGCTAAATCAAAGAGGGTTCAAAAGCCCATGGACAGGTTACACAGACCTGTGCTCCTTTCCTCTTCAACAGGTCTCCATATACCACCAGCAATAGTTTCATCTGCTAAGCAACACAAACCTGAGATGTGGCTTTAATAAATCTTTCTCTGTTTGTTTGGTTTTTGCTCTGTATTTTTCTCTCTAATACCGAGCAAGCACTGCCTTGCTTCTCTCTCTAATACAGTGTACTGGGTACTTCTAATTTGCAAAGACAGCTTGTTTCAATGGAAGAAAAAGGTACTTTAGACTTCTCTAGGGAGTTCTATTTGCACAATAAAAAACGTACAGGATAAGATCTTGAAAAAAATCAGAAGATTACACAACTTACAGTTGAATAAGGTTTAGACTTTCAAAGCAGAGCATTTTGTAAATTATTGTAATGACATACATACACACATACTTTGCCCCTCTTTCTCTCTCTCTCTATCATTTAGCTTTCATAATATATACATCAGATGCATTTTTAATGCAGCAGCGTTCTCCAAACAGAAGGAAGACATTTGACTTAAGAGTTATGGTTGGGATAACATAACTACAGTTTAGGAGAAGGAACCAAAAAAAGGAAAGGATTCTAAGACATTGTAAAAAGCAACTTCAGAAAGCAGAAAAATTTAGAGATCAAGCTTGGCATGAAATCCGTATATTTAAAGGCTGTGGAGATATATAGGTGACAGAATAGAAACACCTTAACTCCGTTCTCCAGGGATGCCATTTATCTCACCCCTTTCTCCTCTAAAAATCCTACAGAAAATGTAATAACCTCCAGAAACTCTTATGGAGAGTGGATGGTGCTAAAGCTGCTTCATTCATACTAAATTAATGGAATTCTTTATAGAAAGAAGGCATGTCAAGAAGGAAATCACAAATGCAGTCAAAAAACTGCTATCCCACTTCCCCTTCTTTTAAAAAGCTGAGGCTGAAGAGGCAGTAAAGTGTTAACCAGATGTATCTTACTGTTTTAGGTGACAGAAAATAAATCATGCCATTTATTTGCCAATAAATCATGCCAATTATTTGCATTCATTCTCATTACAGAGCTTCCCCTTACCAAAGGCTCCATCTCAGAATTAAAGGTGGAGGCATAAAATGCTTCAATCACCACTCTGTCATACTTTCTTAGAGTACCCATTTTTAATATAAATGCTCTGTATGGCACTGGAAAGCAATGAGTTGTTTTTTTTTAAAAAAAAAAATAAAAATTAATCATGCAGGATAACTGGGTAGAATTGCACTTCAATTACCTTCTTAGGTAGCAGTGGAAACCAAAAACAGGAAATCAGCATTCCAAGAAACATACTGCATGCCCCAACTTAATACCAAACGTTTCATTTGGTTACTAACAGGCACCATCTGAACAAAACTGCAGTGCAGTGAGTTACATGGGAAGTTTGATGAAAGTCAGGAGATTGCTTGATGTTCCACTTCTACTTGGCAATAACCAGAAGCTGCCTGGCTACTCCTGGAAAAAGCGTGCCCAGGAAGGGAACTCCATGCTGAGCTGCTTCACAGCTTCCCCAGCTAATTTATACCTGAAAGGTCTTAACCAGTAGTTACTGAATTGTTCCTGATGTAATTTTCTCCATTTCTATTTTCTCAGATTTGTTTCCAACATTATAATGAAGAGTTTCAGCCCTTGATTTGTGAGCAGGAACTTGTATCTTTAAGTACTAAGAACACTTCCAAAGAAACTAAAAAAATATGTTTCTAAACAACTCATCCATATCATATTGCGTATTGATGTAGATTTACAAGTGCCTGGAACTCAGCAGGAATTTCAAATGCACAGGAGCCAAGCGTGTTCCCATCAGCCTGCTGGTACCTACATGTGTTGCTTCTGAAGAAGCTGATGATCCTGAACTGGCATCAAACACTTCTCTGGCAAAGAGATATTGTCCACAACGCTAGATACCAACCACCAACCATCCAGAGCTGCCTCATCATCGCTCCTTACAGGAAATGTCTGATCTCAGAAAAGACCAGCAAGGCATTGGCACTACCCCTGCAGTGACTCAGGAGAGGTTATCAGCTGCTGGCTCCTTTTGAAGGACTTAATACAGTCTGAGCCATTCTTCTCTATATAACATTGATGTATATCAGTACCACCATCAGGTGATTTCAAAATTTCATTTTGATGACTGCTTTTACTATCAACTTCTCAGCAAAAAATAATTAGTAATTTTTAAAAAATAATATTAAAAAAACCCAAAGCACACCAAGAACAGCCGGACACTGTTTATGTGGAGAAACATTTCAAGCTGGAAAATCTCAGAAGAAATGTTCAGTCTTATCTGCTGTTCATAGGCTCACATTTTACCCTCTCTCTCCTGCTTTACTAATCTCCAGTGCACATGCCACACCTCTGGACATGTGGTAGCACGATCCTTACAATGATGGGAACCCCTCTAAAGTCACATGTCTTACTATGACTCAAAACCTGTTAGAGCTACAAAATCTGGCAACAAAATTCCTAGGGCATTCTGTTCCCTTTCCTTCTGAGAAGGGAAACTCTTCCAGTCAGTCAGCAACCAAAGCACCTGAAACCATCTCCACCATTCCTGATGTATCTGGCTCTTCTGGATTGCTTCCAGTGCTAAGGTGCTTTCTGCCCAGCATGGAGTGATGGCAGAGGCTGCACCATAGTGAGCAAAATGATGCATCACAGATTCCATAGGGGACTGCAGACCAGTATGTGTGCACTGTGTCCAAGTGACGTATTTTTTGTGTGGTATTGCTTTGATAAGCAAATAAAAAAAAAGGCATAGGATATAAAGGTCTGCTAAACAGCTTCAATCTTTCCCTGAAACTTCAGCAATAAAGATAATTCACCATTTTACTGCTTTAGTCATCAAATTTTATTACACTTTTGCTAGCATGAATGTTTTTTTCTCTCTAACACTCTAGGACTCAGTGATTTGTAAGGTCTCTCTGTTCAGCTTTGAGCAAAAAAAAGGTGCAAATGTTAATACCTGTTACAGTCATTCCTCTCTATTCCCTCTTTCCTTGTTCCTGAGACTTTCAGAGCCTAAAATACATTTAACAAACTGAAGAAAAGCATTTGCAAGACATGGGGTGCTCTGAAGAGCCACGGACTAAAAACATCACATACATAAACATGGGGCTACAGTCCCAACACTTTGCCTCTACAGTAATGGCACCAGTTTTCTGTTTTCAGAAGCAGAGTATTTGTCTTTGGGGTTTATGTCCCTTCCCAAAATAAGGCTTCTTCCAATTGCACTCGAGTGGATACTTTCTTTGGGTCTGTTTTTTTGCTTTTTTTCTTCCAGGAGACTTTTTTCACTTCCAGACAGCATCAGAGGAGTCATAAGATCTGGTATTCAAACCTGAAATTACTGACGTGAAGGCAGTGTGAACCCAATTGCATATCCAGCCACACATTTTTAATTTCATATGTATGATCACACACCACTGTCTTTGTATAAAGAAGAGAACAGACATTTTGAGAGTAAATTTAAGATGTGGCCCTTCAGTTAAGTAGATGTGCCAAGCCAAAAGTCAGGTTAGAACGTAGCGGGCCAATGTGATGTGACATTTCACCTTTCCCTCTATGCAATCTTCCCCTATTCATGCATTAAAGGGTTATGTAACTGGATTTCAAGATTACATAACACATATGAACACAGAATTCAGCGTTCACAGCTGAATCAAGTAAGTGCATGCATTACCAATGGTCTAATAGTAATTTTCTAATGGTTTTAGAGTTAAAAGCTCTGGAGTCTAATTTTAATGATGATTACCTCCAGAACACAAGAAAACACAACCTCTTTATATATCACTCCATCTGCCATTTAAAAAAGGGAGGTGAAATGATATCAACCCCAGGTTAAGTGTTTTCATGGCAGTTAAATTGCTATTTGTGAATTATATTAAGAGCTTCAAGCTAAGATCTTTCAATTAAACTTGTAAACAGCCACATTCAACACATCATCATTTGTCTGTATATCTGCTCTGCCACTCATTCAAAAAGCAGTGATTTGCACAAGTTCACAGTGTATAAAAGCTCTTGGCATGAGATCCAAAAAACCTCAGAAGGCTGAAAGTGACTCTTATTCAAGAAACACCAAGTGTCAGGTTTGTATGACCATCAAAATACAAGCACATAGCTGTATCTATTCACATCTGCCTTTTTACTGCATTCCTAGCATCACACAAGCTCTCTTACCTACTCTCAAACACTGCACAATCCAGGGAAAAAATTATTACATGAAGCAGCTTCATCTTCCACTGATGCTAAGCTGCATGACCCTGGTCTTTGGGGAATCAATTAAATCTTGTTGTAAGCAGTGTTTTATTTGAGCAAGAGGAGAGTAAAGGGCATCTCACACACAGCTGTGTGTACATGGGATACAGATACACACTGTGAGTAGAGTGAGATCTGTGAACCCTTTTAAGATTCTGAAAATTATTATTTATTAATTTTCCATAGATCAAAAAACTTTATGAAAAGTATGTTCTTCTCCTTATCTAACTTCCTACTCAACATTCACCTCTTTATTTAATTTATAGTATTTTTAAGCATCTCTCACGGTACATTCCATGGCATCTTGAAAGATCAGAAAATATAGACTAAATAATATCATGAATCAACAGACTTGGAACAAGTCTGTGAGAAAAATTGAATCAACAATTTGAGCAGCCCACCAGCAAAGGAAGGTTCCCTAAGGCTAATGCCTTTTCTTTCATATCATATTCTTACCCCTTTTGAAAAGTGCTGCCCACCTTTGGTGACAGCCAAGGCTAATTCCTGTTTCAGTAACTAAACTGGGCTTTCAGAATTTTCTAATATGGCAGCTAAAAAGAAAAAACAGGCCCTAAACCCCGCTAAATTCTTACTAACAGCACCATCATCAGAATGATTAGTGAAAGCTAAAGCATTTGGTACATATTTTTTTTGTCTCCTCTTTAGAACATCTAAGTACATAAGATTTTGCAAAACCATTTCAATTAAACTCTGGTTTCACTACCATAATATCACTTATTTAGCCATCCTTTCTGCCAATTATTAACGCTTAAGAAAAAACCTCACTAATAAAACTTCAACCTATTGCCCTTCTGAGATACTTAAAAATCCAATCTTTAACTACAAGATACAGAAATGTGAACAAAAAGGAAATTCTACAATAGATGTGAATTGAAAATCAGTTAATCAGAACTACTGAAGCATGTTAGTAAGAAAAAAGCACCCTTGGACTCTCATATCACTCCTCCCTCCTCCTGCCCCCAAACCCAAAGTGGCCAGAACACAGTTTTTTGCTCCTGAATTGCCAATTCAAATCCATCTTTAATTGGTAATAACTGAAATGAATTGTTACCTTGAAGGCTTTTTAGATTATGTTAAAGAAATCTGAGGTCCAAGACTAGCTCCTGGAGCAAAGGTGACCACAACAAGGCCCTTTACAACTGATTCAACTTGGCAAGTTCCTTTCCTGGCAGATTCACAAATACAAGAATAAATGGATATGGAAGGGGAAGCACCTTTGAGCTTCTGCAGGCAGCAGCAATTGTGCCTTTCTGAAGAGCTCTGATGAAATGTGCAGGCAAGGTATGTAGGCTGCTACTCAAACTCCTTTGCTATCGGAGAACATGCAACTCTGAAGATGCAAACACGGCAGTATTCATTCACCCTACGTGTTCTTCAAATGAGATGTTAAAAATCACACACAAGTCTGTGAACAGCTGAACTAATGACTCCTGATTTGACCCAGAGCTTTCTGGTTCAGTAAGATTCAGTTAGCAAGCACTACAAAAGAGTTCTTCCAGTAGCTGAAGCATCCGTGTCATCCCCTCCTTGCCCACACGCTGGTGCTGATTGGGCATGGGGCTCTTCCTGCAGCTTTTCATTCAATAGGGTCACTAGCAAGGACTCTCCTTCACCTGCTCCTCACTTTGGAAGAAACCATTCCATCTCTAAGACCTGCTCCTCTTTAATGGAATTCTTGGTTCCAAAATTGTTCTGAAGAGTGTGAAGCAGGCAAATGAATGTCTACACATGCATACACACACGTGTACATATGAACACAGGGTTCACAGAATGTCACCAAATCCTTATTTCTTTGGGCATTTAAAACAGTGAATAAATGTTTTGCAATGGGTTAAATACATAATTTTAACGTACTTTTAAGTATCTGGAGCATTATCAGAAGAAAATATCCAGAGCTTTGCAGCATCTGGTAAACACAGCACTGTGTTAAAAAAGCAGTTGGAGCTTTGTGAGGAATCAAAGTTGGCCAGAGCTCCTGGCTCTGTGGAGATGAGTGCTCAGTTTCCCCATCCCTCAGGAGAGCAGCTGAGCATCTCTCCATGCAGCTGCAGGAGCCTCCTGACACTTGCTCCCTGTCTGTGCTGGACCACAGATAACACTGCTGAGCACAGAGTGCACCCTCCCACTGCAAACACCAGGACCACCGGATTTAAATTTAGGATGTTGAGGACACTCTCTTCCCATGCAGCCCTCCCCAGAGATCTGGATGCCACCAACAGAGTATGGTAAACAGACTCAACAGGTTCTTGTCAGATCTGAGCTCTGCCTATTGCACTTCGGTCTGCAAAACACATGACAGCAAATTCCCGCTATTCAATCTTATGCAAAAAACCTCTTATCTTACAAAAGGCATGAAGGAAACTCTTTAGTTTTGTGTTCTAGTGTAATGGGCCAAAAGCCTTTGTTTATTTGGAGTTGCAGTTTTACCACTGAAGGAATAAGGAACTTGCAAAATCAGATAATCGATATCCAAAGTAGTGTATGATCTGAAATGCTGATAAGTGGATGAAAACAGTAAGCTAAGGAATTGAAGCTACATTGCATATCCATTCAACAACTACTAATGATACTGCAATTTAAAAAAAACCAAAACAATCAAACTTTGTATTTTATTTATTTGCTCCTTATTTATTTATTTATTGATTAATTGTATATAACCTATTTATGTAAGTAAAACAGGATAGCTGTTATGTGTTAATGGCATGATATCCTAGGGTAAATATCACTATGTAGTGATCTCATAGGATTTGTAAGGAAGTGGTAAAATAAAAGAAAACATTTTCTTTTTCAAGAAAGTCAAGAAATGTAGAGAGATCACAGTTCAGGGAGGGGGTGGAGTTTATAACCATCAGGTGAAAGGATATATCTGCTTAACGCAAAGGTGCCACCATTCATTCAGTGAATCTAGGAATCCAAGGCCACAAAGGATATAGATTTATGAGGAAGTAACTTATACAGTGCCAGCCCTGTTTTGTCATATAGATGCAGGCAGAGATTGCTGATACCCATGTCATGCTGTTGGCAACCTGCTACATGTCCAAGTTAGACGGGGATGTAAATTGTCAGGCCAAAAGATAAGCCACAGGACAACTTCTACATGCATCTAGTTTTTGAGTAGAAGCAAAAGCGCATGCCAAAAAGAAATGTGTAACCAGTGCCTTACACATTTTTTTTTTGTCTGAGCCTTGAAATTGAAAAGAAAACTTTCGTTTGGAACAAACTGAAAAAAAAAATTGTTCACTTTTGGACGGTTGCTGGCCAAAAAGCAGCACAAGTTGTGCTGGCACTGTACATCACTAGTGAAACAACATAATATTTTCTGTCACATCTTAAGCAATGGTGTTCTTTCGTTTGCCTTAAGTGAGGAAATATTCTGGAAAAAAACGAAGATTATGTTCCGCCTCTGTTTTCCCTTGAGAAAGATTTAGAGAGCAGTGTCATAACTCAATGTCCATTCTTCTCATCTGCAGATGACAGAATGGAAAATGCCACTTTATTTCAGAAATAAGCTACTTTTTTCGTCTTCTGTTAGTCATTCCTGCCTGCAGGCACAAGGGTTATGGAGATGACGCCTTCAAACTCGTGTTTAGAGTACTAGAGCTTTTCCCATCTGACAAGATAATGCTTGTATACTTTGATAACTTAGGCAGCTCAATCTTTTAAAAAACTGGCTCACCCCAGTGCTATGGAAAATTTAATTCTTAAATCAAGAAGCCAAATTTCTTTTGTAATTTAGGTACAGACTAACATCCAGAAATATCTTTGCAGTCTACTGGTACTTTCATAGAGAGGACCATCTGACTTTGCCAGCCTTTTACCACTTCAATAACCTGTCTGAAACGTATTTGATGTCTTCTGCCTACATCAAACTAGTTCAAATCACTTGCAACAGGAGAGTGCCCTTTGTTTGACTATGAAGTATTGGAAATACAGGAATAATACAGACTTTGATTATCTTTTATATTGCAGAGGAAAGAAAAAACAATTAGGTCAGAGACCTCCCTCAGATACTTTGGTGAAATGCAGAGCTTTGACATAATTTACTGAGATCAAGCAAACATCTTTTTCCTTCTCTTCTCCAGAGGGCTATAACCTCCCACTGTTCTCTTGAGGAATGTCAGGGCACTGCTCTCTT